AATAAAAATTAAACTACTCAATCATCTTTAATCACGGATCCATCACCGATCAGTAGTCTATTTTTCCATCAGGGTGCTCAAAGAAGTCTGCCACATCCAAGTGGGTGATGTCAAAATCATTTTCAGAGACAAAATTGGCTTCAGGGCCTTTATTCTTTAGAGATGCTTGATAAAGCTCAACCAAATGTCTTGGTGTACGACAAATAATTGCCCAATGCCTTTTTCCACCGCAACGATAATATTTAGTTTATGAACCATTTGCCTTTGGTATCTCATCTTTTCCTTTCCACTTTTGGTGCTTATTTTTCTTTGGGGGGTGATTAACACCCGAAAAATTTCTTCCTTATCTACGGTCACGACCACGACCACGAATAGGGCCACAGCCTTTTCCATGCTTAGCATAATGGGAATACACCATAATGAAACAAGAAAAGTAGAAGAACAATATTGTAGAGAAAGAGAGAGTAATTCTTCTTGAATTTTGGGATGATTTACAACGGGGTAAGACCCTTCTAGTTATAAGGGAAAAATGACTTAGCCACAAAGTAAAACTCTCTAAAAGATCGACATTCACTCTGAATATAATTCTATTCATAACAATAATAAATATATTATCCTTTTATACTCGACCTCGATGCGCTTTCATATTCTAAAAACTGTCAATAATGGTACAAGCAGAGCCATTCCACAAGAATCTCCTTTCTAAGATGAGTATATATATATATATATATATATATATATATATATATATATATATATATAGAGAGAGAGAGAGAGAGAGTCTTCCGGAAATAACCTCTAGACTCCTTCGGGATAGAGGTAAGGTCTGCGTACACTCTACCCTCCCCAGACCCCACTTGGTGGGATTTTACTGGGTTGTGTTGTTGTTAAGCTATAAATTTATGAATTTTCTTATATTTTTATTATTTATTTATGATTAATAAGCTACAGAAGCTGGTACATTGTCTCAAATCCCGATTGCCTGTCTCTAATCATTTGCTTCTCTATTTGATTTCTCCGTGGAAGTTACATAGTTCCCATTTAAGTAAAAACCTTACAGATGAAGAAGACTAAAAAAAGGAAAAGGAAAAGGAATAGAAAGAGGTGAGCGCAAAGGGAGGACCGAGAAGATGAAGTTGGGCTTGGAATTTGAGGAAATGGCTTCTACGAGTGAGAATTGGGGCGCTTTTGAGGTCAAAATAAAAGGAGGCGGGGAAAGTGAAGTCAAAAGCAAAAGGGGAAAAGAAATCTGGGCTGCAGCTAAAAAATCGAGAAAAAATCGTTGAGTGCAGTATAGCGATTCTAACCAGTGACCCCGAACGTCTTTTCAGTAAAAGGGTGCCCACTTAAACTATATGAGCATTTATCAAAATATATATGCATAATCACATATATATATATATATATATATATATATATATATAGAATTTTTTCTGAACTTACCGGGGTCCGGTGACCCCTGTCCCTTGGAAGGGTCCGCATCTGCCAACTACTCATATAAATAAAGTTTATGTGGATGTGAATTGTGATCAATGATATTGACTACAAATTTAAGGAGGGGAAAAAATTTCACGATGTGATTAGGAATCTAAAATGACTTTGACTAAAGTAGTTTTTCCTGTAGTATTGAAGAAATTCTTTTTCCAACCAATTAATTTGCTATCCAAACGATCAATAAGGAATTCGCATACTTCTTGGAAATTCTTTGCTTGAAAGTAGAGGCAGAAAAATGGATGAAAAAATAAGTAGTCATCCATGTTATCTATTAAAAGATGGGTTGGATAATGAATATTTTAAAAATGAATCAAATATGGAGATTATCCATATTATCCATTTAAACTATGGATATCCGAGGGATAATACAGTTTTACTCTTCAAGTCAAAAGTATTTTCTCGCTTGTCTCTCCCAAATCGTTATTTTACCTTAATTTCTCAAACTTTTTCTCTTCAGTTTACCCTAATTTGGAAATTGCTCAAATCACGTGAAGCTTTCATCTAAATCCACTATTAGCGGCGACTGATGAATTGTACGGCAAAGCCAAAGACGAAGTGAGGCATTGACACCTTCATTCCCAGGATTCCATTTCTCGTTCTACTTCAACTTCATTCCCAGGATTCCATTTCTCATTCCATTGGCATTTGCTTCACTTTTCAAGTGCGTTTTAGGCATTTTTCATGGTGTTTAGAGTTTGCTTCAAGAAATTGAGCATGACGTCGTTGGTGGCTTACTTCTACTGCTGTAGTTTCATCACCAAATAGGTAAAGATCGAACCTTTGTGCATTTTTATATATTTATTTGAAGTTAGCAGCTTTTGGTTGATTCATTTTGTATTAAAAATTCATTCTTTGTGTCCATTTCATATGACATTGTTGGTTTAACAAGAAAAAACTAATTTTCTTTTGTGATCTCAAATGTGACATAAAAGCAATTGAATCAAATGTCACAACTTGTGGAGGAATAAATAATGCGAAGCTTCTAACTATCTTTAACTTTCAATTTTAGATGAACTATAATAGTAAGACTGGAGCTTTGCTTGCTCTCTAAGTAACTCAAATAATTGGAGGATTTAAAATGGTTTCTTTGTCATATGTGATTGTTATCTCCTTATGTGTTTTGGTGTGTCTACAAGTGATAATCAAGTGGCTACCTGGTGCGTGGTATTCAGTACATTAGAATCTTTATAGACAATCTCAAACAATTTGTGTAATCCAAATATGCTAATGCGATACATCTTTACTTTTTATCATGCATTCGACTGTTATTTGCTAATGTTGATTTGTCTCACTCTAATAGAAGTTGCAAACTTCAGTTATGATTATTCACTATACGTCCTTTTGTGGCTAGTGTTGCTTGATTTCCTCATTCCGGGAACTTTGAATCTGCTATCTTGGCTTGAGCCTTGTTGAGGCTGTAATTTTGCTAGTTTTTGAGTTGTTCTAATACTTTATTTTTGTCTCTTCTAGCACTTCATGCTCTATCTTCTGTTCAAGTGTACTTATATTAGTTGCGAGAATGAGCATTTAAGTTTCTGCCTTGTTACTCTCTTTATCTTGCTATCAAAGCATGTGGAGCTATGAATAAAATCCGTTATGCTTAGGAAGTTTTATCAGCAGTGTTCATTTGTTGCAAAATATGCAGCAAATATGGATAATATGAATATTCATTTTACCTGCTGGCTAACCCGGTTTTTATCCATATTAAATATGGACAGATCAGATAATTTATCCACTTTTACCTAACCCGTTTTCGACCCACTTATATTCGACCCGACCCACTTGTTTGCCGCTCTTAATTGAAAATAAGGAATCCTAAATATTTGTTCATTTGTTATGGGGCTTTTATAGGGTCGAGATTAGCTCCAGAATATAAAACTTCTTAATATTTAATTGCCTATATGATTCGTCAAAATAGCACGGTATAGCCAGTTTTCGGACTGATCATTCAAAAATAGCCAACTTTTACCAAGTCAATGAAAAATAGCCACTATTTTGCTGCAGCAGAGACCGGTCCAGCATAATATACTGGAGTTCGGTGCACCTGTGTATGAACTCCAGCATATTATGCTGGACCGGTATACTTTGCTGGCTCCAGTATAATATACTGGAGACTGGAGCACCGGTGCTCCAAACTCCAGTATATTATGCTGGACCGGTATACTTACTGGAACTCCAGTATAATATGCTGGAGTTCAAGTATAATTATGCTGGAACTCCAGCATAATATACTGGCGTATTTTTCTGGATTTTGAACAGTGTTTTCGCTAAGATTTATCTTTACATGAAAAGTGGCTAAATTTCGATTACTTTTGAAACTGGGCTATTTTTGAACGACCAGTTGTAAATCTGACTATTTTTGAATTTCTCTCACCCGTCACCACAAGTCCAAAATCCAAATACCTAATGGTAGGGGTGTACAAACCGAACCGGAAAACCGCACCAAACCGAAAAGTCAAACCAAAGCGATTAAAAAACCCGACTAGGTTTGGTTTGATTTGGTTTGGTATTGAGTAAAAAAATCTAAACCAAACCGACATATAAATATATAATTTTTATATATACTTTTAAGACTTTATATAGAATTTTCTTTACAAAAATTCTAGAAAATATTTGGGATTCTCTTATGGAATGTAATATTTAATAAAATATGAAGTACTCCATTTTTATTAACCTTAAATAATGGGTTATATGATCACTTTCTTATCAAGTGTTACTGAAATGCGTCAGTTTCTTTGTTCTTCCATATTCATATGTCAAGATTTATTAAATTCTTATATCTTTTTCAAATTTGAAGTGGTATTTCGATAATCTAAAATTAAATAGAACTTATCATTAATTAGTTATCATATTGATTTTTATATTTAATTATTAAATTCATTTAACCTTGTAAGTATACATCAACGAAAAATTATTGTCAGACGACTAAAAAAATAACTATCATGTGTTATTAACAAAATTCTACCATAAAAATATTTTAATAGATCATATGTTTGTTAAGTTTCTTAATTTTTACTAAACATATATTTTACTTATAAAATATTTAACAAAGAAAGATTGAAATAATATTCACAAAACAAAAACCCGAAAAACCCGAAAAATCGATAAAACCGAACCAATCCAACCCAATATAGTTGGTTTAGTTTGGTCTTAATAAAAACCGAACCAACCCGGTCCATGTACACCCCTACCTAATGGCTTGAATTCATTCCAAAGTTTTGGATAATAAAACTATTTAGTAAGGAAAAAAGTTTTTTAAAAATAAAATATATTCCATAGTTAAATTTTAGCTGCAACCAATAGACTTCTTTGTAAAACATTAGAAAGAAATATTGAGGCAAAGGCATAGACGAAATATATGGTGAGTTTAAGTTTTTATATGTTGATGATTATATTTACAGAATTTTCTTCAGAACAAATAAAACTAATATGTAATTTTAAGTCGACCAGAAGCAAGAATAATCCTAAAACTCGAAGCAACCCATTGAATCGGGATGGAGGAAATATACTCTATGATATACATGCTCATTATAAATGAAGGATATTTATAGACATATGTAAATCATCATTAATATAGATCTTATTCTCACACAAGGAGCAAATTGACAGTACTAAACAAAGAAAATAAATAATTTGACATGACAATTATTCTCATACCCTTTCTATTCATTTTACATGAAAACCATGAGTTGAAGACTGTCCAGCTTCAAGAGCAGAAGGGGTTGTTTCTGAAGATTTGGCATGTAGATTTTCAGCTTTTAACTCTTTCTTTTTCCTAATAATGTCATCATCTACATGTAAATCTTCCTCCATTGATAGCACCACAGTCTCTGGCCGTCCATGTGGACCTTCAACAATGGCTTCCTTAACTCTCAGATGCTCATCAATGTGCTTAACTTCTTTTTCTTCAACCAATGTTGTCATGCTCTTCTTCTTCTTCTTTAAGTAGCAACGTAGTGCAAACAAAGCCATGCATAACAAAATGAAACCGAATGCTGGGAACACAATGATTATGAATGTGAAGTTGTCCAAAATGGAAGCCATTGAAATGTTTTGGGAGTTGATGAAAATTTCAATGGAGTTTTTGAAGGTATTGGGATGAGGAGGATAGAGATTTTGGCTAGTTATTTATAGGTACGAATCCATGTGATTAATTTTTATATGGATCTTTTTTTCTTGGATGTGTGTATTGCTTCCAAGATACCAAAGACTTGACGCTCATGTCAAGGGTAGGAGACTTAATATTGATATTTTGATTGTAGTGGAAAACACTACTTCTTTGCAATATATATCTAAAATCAATCGTGAAAATGATTGGAGTACTTTTGAGAAAAGATTTATCTAAACTAAGTGATCTGCTTTATGGTTTGCAAGACAAGTCATCTTGTCTCACTTGAATGGTCCGCAAAGAATACTAAAATTAATGGTAGAAGGCCTCCAATTGCAACATTCATTCTTATTTTAATTTTTCCTAGGTAGCCATCTATAAATAAAAGTTCCTTACTCAATATCAATTACAATTTTAGAGCACATTACTTCAGTATCTAACTCGGCATAATAATAGATGTAAGACTATCTACCTTGTCATTATAGGCGGACCCAAAAATTGAAAGTGAGAAAAAAATCTAATGTTAACATACCAATTCTGAAAAAAGATCGAACATACCGATAGAAATAAAATCCAACAGTTGTTATATATTGCTCGCTGAAAACTAATGTAACACCATGTTCGATCTTTTGTTATGAAAAGAATTTAAAAGAAGTAGCCTACTACAACTTCCCTCCCGCTTTTGTAACTACTCCTTGTATGGCTCGCTCTTTTAACACTACTACGAACTAGTCAAGGAGGTCTTTTGTTTGATGAACAAATCTCCCAAGAAACTGGTCCTAAGCACTTTTGGATTATTTAAATTCGGCTTAGTATTAATATAACTATCATTCTAAGTAAAAAAAAAAAAAAAACTAAAAGAATTTTAAACTTTTGATGTTTTTCTTTTTTCACCATCTGTTAAAATGCATTATCACGTTGTTCCTACTAGTTGAATCAAAAAATAGTGTACCACATATTAATATAATAATGTATTTCAAGATACTGTACTATAATACTATTATATAAAACAAACGCATAAAGAAAAAATCAAAATGATTACATAATACACATGCATAAAGGAAATTAAAAAAATTCAAGATACTGTACTATTCTATTATTACTAAAGAAAAATCAAATAGTGTACCAACTAAATGTAGCTAATACAACCAACCAATGTTCCAACTAATATATGATACCAGTATAATATATAGTTATACCAAGAGTGTATACCATTGTATGCAAACAGTTTAAAAAAGATTTTTTTAATTCAATTATTAAACTGAAATAATATCAGTTGTCAATAAAAATTTCAAAAAAGGACCTAATTGTAAGAGTATACCGTTACATTATATAGTATACTATCATATTATATCATTGGAATGAACTGTATACCAAAATGGTATATAGTGTATCATTTTGATATACAGTATAAATTCTTCTTCGCCGGTTCAACGCAATAAATTATACACTATTGAATTAACCAAAATGTATATAATATGTTATTTTGGTCTATAGAGGATTGGTTCATTCCTTCAAAAAAAAAATTAGTAGTATACTATTGTAGTTAATTATATATTCTTGAATTAATTATTGTATACCAATACAGTATACAATATACTATTTTGGTGTACAGTACAAATCTGTCTTCTTTGCTAGTTCAACTCAATTTCAGCCCAAGATTTAAAAAGGACCAAATTATAACTATATACGATTATATTATATTGTATACTGTAATAGTATATGTTGGAATGAATTATATACCAAAATGGTATATTTGTATACTATTTGGGTATACAATACAAATTCGTCTTCTTCTCTAGTTCAACTATATTTCAACCCAAATTTCTGAAATCTACTACAAAATCTCCACCAAATTGATGCAAACACAGCTACAACCTCCAATCAACTTTTCAAACAAACCCGTGCAGGATCGGATCAAAACAATTAAAAACTCAAACAAACCAAATTATGACTTTCAAGCTTCAAGGTCTTTCAATGCTGGACTTAAATTTTTGTACAATAAATCTCCGAAAATCAGCATCAAAGATACAATCTACACATCAAAGAACAATACCTAACGACAAAGTTCTGAGAATTAGAAAGACAGGCCGCACAATGTGTAATCTTTGTTTCTGCCATATATAAATTGTTAAAACTTTTTTGTAAACTCCTGCTCTTCCTTACTCCCTACTCCATTACCGCAGTTGACAATTGATTTTTTACATCGTTGATTTCTTGTCTATAAAAATCTAGATCTGTTATTTTGCCTTCAGCTTAATCACTTCCGTAGAATGCGAGTCCTACTGAAAAGGATGCGATGGTATATCCTTTTTTAGGCAGAGACAGGTGGGCGGGTAATTAATTTTGGCGGAATAGGTATATATGGTAATTTTTTGTATATGTTAAGAACGGGTAATTATTTTGACGTGAGTAGGTAGTTAGCATAAATTGCTCAAAAAAAACTAAAAGAATTTTAAACTTTTGATGTTTTTCTTTTTTCACCATCTATTAAGATACATTATCACGTTGTTCCTACTAATTTGCTAAAGTTTAGAGATTAAATTACAACATTAATTTAAATAACCAATAACGAAACATAGATAACTAATGAATTGAAAAATCATCCCAAATGATTTAATAAAAATTTGGAAAACATTTTGTTTACCTCGAAAAATGGGTTTAACAATTAAAGATGTTTTGTGGTTTTAAAGATACGTGATATATTCTAATACTAGTGATTATACAAGTAATATTAAGCTTAAGTAAGAAGAAATAATGAACCAAATCAATGTTGTTGAGACAGTAGGGGCCTCGAGCTCGTCTATTCATGGAGCTCGAGGTCAGCTAAGACCAATAAAGTATGAACAATAAAGTAAAGGCAGTAAAGCTGAAGAATTATTGTAGAGCACGTTAAACAAGAGAAGAATAGAATGTTCTATTACAATGAATAATATGTTGCCTTAATGATTGGGGTCCCCTTTATATAGGAGGAGAAAACCCCAATATAGTACATTTCTCACAAAGGTAAAGAATTCTATTGGTACAGGTGTATAACGGCCTAGTACGGACCTATACCATTCCGTACGAACATTATCCTTTAATTAATGCCCTCGTCCACGTGTCCTAGGAAAATTTTCGCTCTTTCTTGATTGACTTCGAGATTGTGCTGCCCTCGATGTAGGCCGTGCCAGGCCTTTGATTAGCTTCCTCGAGGTGGGTGTACCTCAGTCGGATCTGACCCTCACTTCGAGTCTCCCGGACTCGGATTCACATTCCAATTTAAGACCTCGAAATAGGGCTCCTTGGTGTTGACCGTATACAGATAGTCCCCGCATTTCTTAGAATAAGATGATAAAAAACGATTCGAACCTCGATTTTCCCGAGCCTCTCGCAATGACGTCATGCCCGTGACGTAGGCGCCTGAAGTGATCGAAACATCCTGTCGGTCCATTTCCCCAAAAATATTGAATGCACCACCGGTCCATCTCCCCAAAAGCATTGAATGCGTGCCAGCATTGGTCGGCCACTTGTGCCGCCGAACCGTCACTGACGTTCTATAAATAGGGGACTACTTGGCTGAACGAAAAATACACATATTCCTTCTTCATCAACTTTCAGCCCTTCCCTTTCTCTGTCTCTTCCTCTAGTCACCCGTTTTTATGGTTCAAATCCGTGACCACAAGGTCACATGGCAGCAACTTTACCAGTTACACCAAGGCTTCCTTTTTTAAAGCTTTACCCCACTAAGTGGGATTATACTGGGTTGTTGTTGTTGTTGTTATTTTTGTCGTTGGCTCGAAATAACGAGAGAAGGGCGTCGAATTCTTCCCGTATTGGAAGATATCGAACCTTACACTACTGCTCATCTCTCTTAACATCAACCTGGTGTGGTGCTTCATTCCTTTTGCTTTCCATGGAGTGAGGTGGCACTATCATCTACTAACTTTTGCATCCCACACCGGTACAATATCTCAAGAAGTGTTTTCAAAACAGTTGTGCTGATAAGACCCATACTCGCCAAGTTTATCACCAGGCCACAATTTTCTTCAAAGATCGAGATGGAGTCCCCGAGGAGGAGGTTCTCGACGATGACGCTCTCGAGGATATGCCCCTGAAAGTAGATTAGGTTCTTGGCTTTTTGTTTTTGCTTATTTGTTTCTGTGTAAGGGCCCCTCGTAGGCTTTGTAAACATCTTTTCCCAATATAAAGAATTTCTCTATTTCATCTTCCATTCGCGTTGAATTCCATTCTGCCTTCGTCTGTGAAAAATCCGAGCGTATAACTCTAATTATTAGTCCGAATACTGGACACAGAACATAATAAACCCTTAGGTTTTAAATTGACTAATATAATACCTCTTAAGGTTCTTTGTTAATCCTAGAGCTAGGCTTAGATTGATTTGATGCGAGCTCGGGACGCTGGGACTCCTGAGTTCGGGTTGAGTGAGAGCAAGGTCTCTAATTTGAAATAAAGTTAGCTTTTTTATGCTTCGTAGATAGTCCGCGAGTGAGAATTTTCTCAAACTCGAGTAGCCATTGGGCTTAGTAGTCGAGTGAGTATTTGCTCGAACTCGAAATAAAGTTAGCGCTTAGGTTGCATAGGTAGTCCCCGAGTGAGAATTTTCTCAAACTCGGGCAGCCCTTGGGCTTATAGTCGAGTGAGTATTTGACTCGAAATAAAGTTAGCCTTTTGGCTTTATAGATAGTCCCCGAATGAGAATTTTCTCGAACTCGGGTAGCCCTTGGGCTTGGTAGTCGAGTGAATCTTTGCTCGACTTGTAGTCTGTCCTTAATGATTTTTGACTAATTAATTCCCGATGCCTCGGTCCTGATGCCAATATCATGACATAAGCAGTTGAAGTGACTGAAAAGTTGCTTTCTGTACGATTCCCAAAATCATTAATTGTAGGCGGCTGACGGTCGACCTTTTGGATTCCACAGCACGCTTAAATGATCTTTATAAATATATTGATCCCTCCACCTTGCAAACTTTATTCCCACATTGCTTTCAAAGTCCCATTT